GCCCCCCCCCCGCCGCTCTTTCTCGCCCCAGCTCCTGCTCCTTCAGGTGTCTCTCAGGTAAACCCCCCTGCGCCTGCGCCTGTTGAGGTCACTGGTGACTCCGGTCCTGCTGGGAGTGGTGCTGTCCCTGGGGGTGCGGAGCTTGGGGGTGCTGAGTCTGGGGGCGCTGAGCGTGTGGAGCCTGGAGATGTTGAGCCTGCGCGTAAGGAGCCTGGAGGTACTGCGTCTGGAGGTGCTGCGTCTGGGGGTGCTGAGCCTGTGTGTGCGGAGCCTGGGGGTGTTGAGTCTGGGGTTGAGTCGCCTGAGGGTTCTGAGACTGCTGTTACGCGGTCTCCTTGGAGTAGCCGTCTTCGTCCGCGTGTGCCCCTCACCTCCCAGCAGCTACACGACTAGTACGGTCGCCGTCAGCCTCCCGCTTCTGCACCTCATGACTCTCCTGCTGGAGGTTCTTCTGCTGGTGTCGCTGGTCCCGGAGGTGCTCGTACTGGGGGTACTGGAGCTGCTGGGGCTGGTGGTGGTGCTGCTGGAGGTACTGGAGCTGTTGAGGGTACTGGAGCTGCTGGAGGTGCTGGAGCTGCTGGAGGTGCTGGAGGTGCTGGAGGTGCTGGAGGTGCTGGAGCTGCTGGAGGGGCTGGTGCTGCTCGTGCTGGTGGCACTGCTCAGCCGCGCCTGTTCTTCACTCCGCCATCTCCGTCGTCTCAGCCACCACCTGACTCTGCACTTCGCCAGGTTCTCGGTCTTCCCTCGTCTACTGGTCTTCCGTTACAGGCTGACTCACCGCTGCCTGCTCCTTCTCCGTACACAGAGCAGCCTGGTGGCCTTGCAGAGCGTCGTGAGCCTGCGTCGCGTCCTGTCTCCACTGTCAGTTCCAGTCGTCGTGTTCCTAGTCAGAGCCAGCCGGCTGTCTCCGGCCCTCCCCTTGTAGTTCGTCGTCCTTCCTCTCCTTCGCCGCGTGTTCCTCTGCCGCCTCCCCCTGCGTCCTCTCTGCCTGTCGTTGCTGACCCTGTGTCTGACCGGTTTCGTGCTGAGCACTCTACTGTCACGCGTCTGCTTGCCACTGTTGTCACTGACCCGTCGTTTGAGTCTGCTGTTGCGTCTGCCTTAGTCACTGAGCTTGTTGCCTTTGCTGCTCACTGTCGTCTAGACTACGCCGGCAGTTTTGTTGCTGATTCTGCGTCTGTCTGTCCTCCGACCGTCGGGGGTGAGTGTGCTCTTGGCACGGACGTCCTTGAGGACAGGCAGGAGGACCTTGAGTGTCTTGCAGCCGCTGCGCCTCATCTCGTATCCATGCTGCTTGCCCCTGAGGGAGACCCGGATGCACCAGACATCCCTACCCCACGCTCTTACGCTGAGGCGATCGCGGGTGAGTACTCCTCTCAGTGGCAGACAGCCATGGACGCAGAGATGGCATCCTGGAAGTCCACAGACACCTACGTCGATGAGGTTCCCCCTCCTGGGGCGAACATTGTCAGTGGCATGTGGATTTTCAGGGTGAAGCGGCCGCCAGGTTCTCCGCCTGTCTTCAAGGCTCGTTACGTGGCTCGAGGCTTCAGTCAGCGAGAGGGAGTTGACTTCTTCCAGACCTTCTCCCCCACCCCGAAGATGACCACTCTTCGGGTGCTGCTGCACGTTTCCGCTCAGCGTGACTACGAGCTTCACTCTCTTGACTTCAGCACAGCTTTCTTACAGGGCAGCCTGCACGAGGAGATCTGGCTGCGCCGCCCTCCTGGCTTCACTGGGTCGTTCCCTCCTGGTACCCAGTAGAGCCTCCGGCGGCCGGTCTACGGTCTCTGCCAGGCTCCACGTGAGTGGCACGACACACTGAGGACGACACTTGCGGCTCTTGGGTTTGCTCCGTCGACTGCTGACCCGTCGCTGTTTTTGCGCACCGACACTTCGCTGCCGCCGTTCTACGTTCTCGTGTACGTCGACGACTTGGTCTTTGCCACTGCTGACACTGAGGCTCTCGCCCTAGTGAAGTCGGAGCTGCAGAAGAGACACACGTGCACAGACCTGGGTGAACTGCGCAGCTACCTCGGCTTGCAGATCACCCGGGACAGAGCACGCCGCACCATCACACTGAATCAATCACACATGGTGCAGCAGGTCCTTCAGCGCTTCGGTTTCACCTGGTCCTCAGCACAGACCACTCCTCTGGCTACAGGTCACTCGCTCTCAGCTCCACCTTCGGACGAGTCCGTGGAGCCGAGTGGTCCTTACCCAGAGTTAGTGGGCTGCCTCATATACCTGATGACTTGCACTTGTCCTGACCTTGCGTACCCTCTTGGCCTTTTGGCTCGCTACGTGGCTCCTGGTCGGCACCGAAAGGTGCACATGGATGCTGCCAAGAGGGTACTACGCTACTTGTGCAGTACATCGGGCATGGGGCTCGTGCTTGGAGGACGGGGTGACGTTGTCCTCACTGGTCACTCGGACGCCTCTTGGGTTGACGACCAGGCTACGCAGCGGTCGTCACAGGGTTACACCTTCAGCCTTGGTTCTGGTTCAGTTTCCTGGCGTTCTACACGTTCGTCTTCAGTTCTCGGCTCCAGCTGTGAGGCAGAGATCTACGCCACAGCCATGGCTGCACAGGAGCTGCGCTGGCTCACCTACCTGCTGACCGACTTGGGAGAGCGGCCTCGTTCTCCTCCAGTTCTGTACGTCGACAACAAGGCCGCCATTGCCTTGTGTCAGGAGCACAGACTGGAGCACAGAACAAAGCACATCGCTCTCCGTTACTTTATTGCTCGAGAGCTGCAGCAGCGTGGCCAGCTTCGTCTTACCTACGTGGCCACTCGGGCCAACACTGCTGATATATTCACCAAGGCGCTTCCGCCTAGTGATCATCAGCGTTTCTGCACTTTGTTAGGCCTTGTGCCCACGCTTCCTCACTTGCTGTAGGCTTTGTTTGTACCATGATTTATATGTATTCCTGCATGCTTGTTCTTGTAGGTAGATATCACTGTACTGTTGTTGTTACATATATATCTCTGCATGTGAACTGGCCTTGTGGCCTTCTTGCTTGTGCTCAGACTGCGTGGTGACGTTGTGATCCACCCTGAGCTTGCTTTGCACTTCCTGCCTGGCCTTGTGACCCTCTGTTCTCCCCCACTTTGCCTACGGGGGTGTGTCAAACATATGTGTATATGTTGTTGTTTAGATAGGCTTTAGTGGGGTACTCACTGTGGGGTACAACCCCTTAGGTTTCATTCTTGTACCAAACCTCTCGACATTGCAATACAACTTTTGACTAGGATTCTAACACCGCGGCGCCTCTCCCTCACGACCCCCAGAGCAGCGGCGCCTCTCCCTCACAACCCCCAGAGCAGCAGCGATGATTTCGGGCGGCACACTGAAGCAGAGCGACTTTGAGCGGCAGATGGGACGATTCAGCGATCATCAAGTATGAGCTGCACGCAGACAGGTACCAACCGGTCAGTGTTGTCACTCGTGAGATGCTTTGTGTGAGTTGAAACTGAAACGGGAGGGAAGGAGCAATGGGCTCTGGTGCTGCCTTGGATCTGCCAGTGGTTCCCTTGGGAGCAACCATGCAGGTGCACGTGTACTCGCCCAAGTAGGAGCTGCACGCAGATGGGTCAACCGGTGAATGTTTAGTCACTCGTGCTCTTTTGTGGAAAAACGTTGTGGGTTTATGCTTGTGGTGACTGATTTTGAATGTTTGGTTATTCTTTCTGTCCGCAAGTGCAATTTGGAGTGGTGTGCCGTGGGTGTCTGCTGTTTGGGGTGACATTAGTATGAGACCGCCCAAGTGGGTTCGTTCCATTACCAATCCCGCTGATACACCTACAAATAAATACCGTAAGACGCGCAGTTTCACGTCAGCGGTGATGTAGCTGTTGCTGATTTACGCTATTGCACGCATTGAAATGCTAGCACTGTTTGCAGAGTTATCCTCGTACCTTGGATGCACAGTCCCATTCTTTCAAATCGTTCTACTAATATTGATACCACTTTATGTCTCCAATTTCAAGGTATGTACTACTACACTCATTAGTGGTCGTCTCGTGTCTCAATGCGTGTCATAGTTGCACAAACGAGTACACACGGTCCTCGCCAATTTCAATACCACCTATTTCTTACCCCTAAGCAGTCATTTCTGGTTTACCCGAAATCGGGGGTCATTCGTAAATATTTTGCTTTAAGTAGAAAAATGTTTGAGACTACCCACACGAGTCAGGAGGAAAACAAAAAACATGGTCGCAGCGGAAGATCCAGTACTTGCGCTGCAGCCACTTAGCAAGATTTTTACGTGATCAACACTAAACAATGTTAAGAATAGCCATTAGTTCCTGAATTTCTGGTCCCTAAAGTCAAAAACGGTCAAGGGTAAATTCTGGAAAATCTCAGGGAGCGTGAAATTGGCGAGGACTCGGTGTACAGATACAAGCTTTTGTGAATACCATCTTCGCGAAAACCTTCGCCGCACGGCACAGAGCACTAGACACTCGGCACACGACAACGCTCGCGACAATCGGCACAAAATTACTGCATCCTCCTGCGCAGAATTTGCGCGGACTCACGTAGATAGGGGGGAGGCTGCTAGCGGAGCAGACAGCACGATTGGCGGACGCAAAGGGGCGCGGAAAATTCCAGAACTTTAGGGCGGGGTCAGCGCGTTCATGAGTCACTATTGTACCTGTCATCCGTCGTGGTGCAAAACATTTACAGACGTTTCAAAGCGGTTCCTAATATTCACCGTTTTGAACCGTGACGCAACGACAGTAATCCCTCAGAATGAATTGTAAATGAATTGTAAACGAATGCGCTGACCCCGCCCTTAGGTGATCACTCACGAACTTTAGCACTCACATCCTCCAGAGTACTAAAGCTGCAACGAAGTCTCCTGTTGTCCTTAGCGTTCCTCTGTTACTCGAATCCAACGCTTGCTAACGACTTGTTTTTTACTGTATCGTGCTTAGATGGCATCTATCGCGATCGACTCCGGTTCTGTGTTACAAAGAATCGATGGCTTGGAGCGAATGCGAGATCCGACGGTCTCAATATCTCTTCATCATCCACACCGGGTAGATCCACCGTCGGATCGACCCGCGTGTACGTGCCATTCGGCAAATCAGCATCCGGAATTCCCATTGGACCGTCTGCCTGACGACGTGCTCTCATTGGTCCTCCAGCATCTCTCCCGCAACTCCCTCGCGCACGCCTTCGTCTGCAAGCGCTGGTTCCGCCTCACGTGCCTCGCGCGCGTCTACCTCAAGGTTCCGCGCGCCGTGCACTCCGCGCAGCTTCTCTCCGCCGTAGACACATTCCCGACATTGTCACAACTCGATATAGCGGAGAACACCGTTCCGCACGCGACAGACGAACTCCTGCGCGGAATTTCCGCGCGCTGCCCCAATCTCACGCGCCTGCTCATCGGGTACCAGTTCCGCGCGCGCTTCTCCCCCGCGGGGCTCTCCGCGCTCTTCCGCGGGTGCGCGCGCCTGCAGCAGCTCCGCCTGTTTTCCCTCAGCGGAATCTCCGCACTTCCCGCGTCCCTCACGCTCCTTTCCCAGCTAGAAGTTCTCGAATTAGGTGACGACCCGGCCTGGCGCGGATTGGATACGTTCACGAATCTGATTGAACCCGATATAAGCCTAGATTCGTTACGCTGTATGAAGAAGTTGGTTGTGAGCAGTCGCTGCTTTGAGAGCCTGCCGTGGAGCATCGGCGAGCTGACACGTTTGGAGCATCTAGAAATCCATTCAGAGGTCCTTCGTTTGCTGCCCGGCAGTTTCGGGCAGCTAGGGTCGTTGGCGGTGCTGAAGCTCGAGGCCAAGTCTTTGGAGGAGCTGCCCGAGAGCCTGGGCAGGCTGAAAAACCTGCAGCGAATGTGGCTGACAAACTGCGAGAGTCTGTCCAAACTTCCCGACTCGTTCGGGCAGCTTTCCAACCTATCCTTCCTCAGCATTCACCTCTGCGACCGGCTTCGGTCGCTCCCAGAAAGTTTCAGCTTTCTGCCCGCTTTGGAAACCCTAAAACTACACGAGCTTCCGAGCCTGCGCACGCTGCCCGAACTCTTCGGGCACCTGCCGAAGCTGAGAATTCTTGACATGAGCACATGCGGGGTGGTGCGCCTCCCTCTCTCTCTATACCTCTTAGCCCGCTTGGAACGACTCAGCATAGCAGCTTTCCCGGACCTCCCCCACGTGCCCCCTCTCACCGCGCAACTCCTCGCTCTGCCGCCCCGCCCGCTCCACCAATCCCTCCTGCCTGGCACCGCCTCTGCATCGCTTGCGTCCCCCTCCCCCTCCCAAGCGCCTTCGTCTGTTGCTCGAGAGGGTGTTTCTGGGGGATTCGTCTCCCCGCCTCATCCGAATGTGGGCCAGGGTCACCAGGGGAGGGCGCGGCCTATTGGGCTTTGTACTGGGTTGGGTGGGCGCATACGGGAAGAGACATGCGAGGATGAAGCGGATAAGGAGGAGGAGGATGAAGGAATGGAGGAGAGGGAGGACGAGATGCAGCTGGGGGTGGTGCCGTCGCAGCAGCAGCAGCAGCAGCAGCAGCAGCAAGAGGAGGGTAGGCCGTGGGAATGGCAGGAGCAGCAGGAGGGGATTCAGGCTGGGGAGTTTTCCCACTGGAGAGTGGGGAGGCAGTTTCCTGCATCCTCGTTAGGGCTGTCCTCGTTAGTGATACTAGAGATGACGGACCACACTGGGATCCTTGCCCTACCCGAAGACCTAGGGTGCCTGCCCAAGCTGGAGCTTCTCAGGCTTGTCAGACTGGACAATTTCACGGTCCTGCCCGATTCGCTCGGGCAGCTGAAATCCCTGCGCAAGCTAATGCTTTCTCAGCTGCCCTATCTGGAGTACCTCCCTGCCTCTCTCCCACAACTGCCATCCCTCGAGCTGCTGGTCATTCACCAATGTGCCAACCTGGCATCCCTGCCACGTGGCACAATCTCAGGCCTTCGGAACCTGTCCAAGGTGGCACTTATTGAGTGCACAAGCTTGTGCCGTCTGGATAGCGAAGACGCGAAGGCCAGCAGGGGTGGAACGGACACGTTACGCCATGTGCTTGTCTTTGATTGTGGCATGAAGTCCCTTCCACCATCTCTTCTACATGTGGAGTCATTACAGACTGTACACTTTCGAAATGGGGGGTGGTTTGGCTTTCCGGTGTTTTCATTGCCGGAGGTGTACGGGTTTTCCAGGTATTCGTGCGAGAGCGTGCAAGGAGGGTTTGTTTATTCTAGGAATTATAGCTACCCGTGTGTGCATTGCCGGGATTTTGTATTAGCTACATGGGATGCATAGTGGTACCAAGAACTGTACAGGGGAATGTCATGCTTTATCAAATTAGAAAGATACATGCTTGAATTTGTTGTACCAGGAATTTGTGATATTGAGCGAGACATTTACAGCGGGTCATATTATTTCGCATTCTGCGTTGATGGTTGTCCAAACGTAATTGACCAGCTTGAACCGCCTTAAAAAGACCCTTACCGAAAAAAGTACCTACCACCCCGTGCATGAATCTCATCTGTGTAGCTGGCGAAACGCCCAGAACATCGAGGGCGTAAGGCGTATCCTAGGAGGCTCACCAAGCAGCCGATTTTCTCGGGTCCTGTATGTCCACCATGGCATTCCTGCCCACCAACATCAGCGCTTTCTTCTCGCAATCCTCGCCGTCCGATTCGCTTTCCTGCCGAGACGAGCCGCATGTCGTTCCGTTCCCCCTGGACGATCTTCCAGACGACGTTCTCGCGTTGGTGCTTCGCCTCGTCTCGCGTCGCTCGATCCACCTCGCCTTGCAGACGAACCTGGTCTGCAAACGCTGGTGCCGCCTCCTCCGCCTCTCGCTCTCCCATGTCACAATAACGAGGGAGATTACCCCGGATGACCTCCTGTGCGCTTTGAGAACTTTCCCTACCATCACGTATCTAGATATTGCCGAAAATGTTCTCATTCCACCGTTTGATTCTCCAATCCTTCAAGACGACTTGGTCCGTCGGATCTCTGACACGTGTCCGCATCTGAAGAGCTTCGCTCTCGCTCACCAATCTCGCGCGGAGGGCCGAGTTTCCGCCGCCGGACTCTCCGCGCTCTTCCGCGGATGCCCGCGCCTGGAGTCGTTGCGCCTGCTCTCCCTGAGCGCAATCTCCGCGCTTCCGCCCGCCGTCTCCCGCCTCACCAACCTCTCCGCGCTCGAATTGGGGGACAGTGGCGCATGGTGCTGGGGGGAAGGCGGAAAGCATGAGCTGGCGGGGGCGGAGGGGGGTGGGGAAGGCGGAAGGGGAGGCTGCGGGGAAGCGGAGGAAAGGAGGCAGGCGCAGGGGCAGAATTTGATGCCTACAAGGGGTGATAGCGGTACCAGCCTGGACTTAATAAGTGCTCGGATTAGGAGGCAGCGGGATTCAGCTCTAACTTCTCTGACCACATGCACTTCACACTTAAAGTGTTTAAGTGCGCTCACTTACCTAAGAGTCAACAGCTGGTGCTTGCAGGCGCTGCCTGCGTGTGTTGGCGCACTGAAGATGCTTAGCCACTTGGAGGTCACCTCGGAAAAAGTTTCTGCCCTGCCCGAGGAGATCTGTGACCTGCCCCTGCTACAAGTGCTCTGGCTTAGACTGAGGAAATTGAGTCAGCTGCCCGAGAGGATGGGCAGCTTGGCCAGCCTTCAGCAGCTGCGGTTGAGGGACTGCACGTGTTTGGTGTCACTGCCCGACTCTTTTGGGCAGCTCAGAATAAAACTTTTGGAGCTCCATAACTGCGCATCTCTCACCGCCCTTCCCCATAATTTTGGGTCACTCTCCCAACTGCAGACCCTTCGCATGATCTGGGTGTATCATTTATACAACCTGCCCGACTCTCTCGGGCAGCTCTCAAATCTCCGTTTTCTGGAGCTGGAGCAGTGCACAGCTCTTCGAGACCTGCCCGGCCCGGTCGACTCCCCTTGCCAAGGCCAGATCTGGCTGCCCGCTCTCGAAAGTCTTCGTCTGGTGGGACTCCGCCATCTGGACTCTCTCCCTCCACTCGGGCAGCTGAAAAACCTTCGCAGGCTGACCGTGTCACTTCTATCGAAGCTTGACGAGCTTCCTCCGTCTCTCTCCCTGCTCTCCAACCTGCAAACCCTAGTCATCCATGGCTGCTCGCAGCTGAAATCCCTCCCTCGCAACGTTCCCTCTGCCCTTTCCTCTCTCTCCTCCCTCTCGATTCGCTCCTGCTGCAGCATAAAAGATCTGGATTTTCTTCCGTTTTGCAATGGTGCTATGGAGGCATGTAGTGTGGGTGGGGTGGAGGGGAGGGTGACCAGTGAAGCGGTGAAGTGCAATGCGTTACGGTGCGACAATGTGGAGGGGGATTCGTCGCCTGAAGCTGAAATGTGCACATTAGCAGGTGATTTCAGCAGCTGCACTTCTGTCACAGCCCAAAAGGGGAAGAAAAGTCTCCTATCGGCCTTGTCAGCCCCACTCCGCTCTCCCTTGAATTTCTCAAAGGAGGCAAAAGCACGCCGAGACCTTGGTTCCAAGGCAACTTTCCTTCCTTGTCTCTCTAGTGTGTATATCGTTGACACGGGCGTAAAGGTGCTGCCAGAGGTGCTGTGGCTGCTTCCATCTGTCCAATGTGTGCACCATTTCAATCACAAGTGGATGGGCGGTAAGGTCATGAAGCCTTCAAAAGACTTCCGGTACCATTTTGAGAAGAAGATTTGTAGGAATGACAATGAGGGGAGGGTGTATGTGAGGGGTGGGTATCAAGGGGATCCGTGTGCTTGTTGCTCTTACAGAGAGAACCATGAGCGATGGATAGTACCGTGTGTGAATTAATATATGGTGTTCTGATTTCTCGCGGACCATTGGCTGGCATAGATCAACCTTGAAATTCTGACAAAATCACAAGAGGAGGGGTCTGTCTGTACATTAACATGTACATTACATGGTACTATCATCTCCAGTTGTGTCTCACAACAAGCAGGCTGTTTTCTTCCACCTCCCCAACACACCACCCATACGCTAACCTGCATAAATCCCATGCAAGACCAGCCAACCAAGTGCAAGCACCCTGCAGCACTGAACAAACCCCCCCCATCAGCGACACAGCCATATGCAGAAATCCTTCCACCACCTGCATAAGCACAAACAGAGTTTTGACTCGCAGCAGCAATTGCATTCTCCCCGACCAGCCACCGGGAAGGCAGTCTAGCAGCCATGGTTCCGCCTCCACACCCACCCCTTCCAACTCCAAATGCTGCAGTTGCGAGCTGCCTGCTGGATAAGTCCAGGAGATTTTCCAGATTGCCAAGGCAATAAAGGGTGAGCGTGTGGAGGGCAGGGAAGGAGAAGTTTTATGGGAGAGAGGAGATACGTGTGCAGTAGGAAACTTTAAGTATGGTGAGGGAAACTAGGCTTGGGTGTTGTTCTGTGCCGTTTGCTGCAGAATCAAAAACAGGGGTACCGGTAGATGCGCTCGCAGGGGCAGAAGGAGGGGCAGAGGCAGCGGGAAAGTTACATGCAGAAACGGGGCCAGAAGAAGGCGCAGAGGCAGCAGCATATAGGAGTGAGAACACCAGCAGAGAAGCAGCAAGCAGCATGGCAGGATAGAGCCACGCACTGGGCACATGTGAAATCAGCACCAGCACCATGACAAGAAGCAGCGACACGGCGTTGACAAAAGCACTGCTGTTAGAATCCTAGGCAAGGTTGGTATTGAATGTCGAGAGTGTTGGTACAAAAATGAAACCTAAGGGGTTGTACCCCACAGTGAGTACCCCACTAAAGCCTATCTAAACTACAACATATAAACATATATTTGACACACCCCCATAGGCAAAGTGGGGAAGAACAGAGGGTCACAAGGCCAGGTAGGAAGTGCAAAGCAAGCTCAGGGTGGATCACAACGTCACCACGCAGTCTGAGCACAAGCAAAAGGCCACAAGGCCAGTTCACATGCAGAGATATATATGTAACAACAACAGCACAGTGATATCTACCTACAAGAGCAAGCATGCAGGTATATATATAGATCACAGTACAAACAAAGCCTACAGCAAGTGAGGAAGCGTAGGCACAAGGCCTAACAAAGTGCAGAAACGCTGATGATCACCAGGCGGAAGCGCCTTGGTGAATATATCAGCAGTGTTGGCCCGAGTGGCCACGTAGGTAAGACGAAGCTGGCCACGCTGCTGCAGCTCTCGAGCAAGGAAGTAACGGAGAGCGATGTGCTTTGTTCTGTGCTCCAGTCTGTGCTCCTGACACAAGGCAATGGCGGCCTTGTTGTCGACGTACAGAACTGGAGGAGAACGAGGCCGCTCTCCTAAGTCGGTCAGCAGGTAGGTGAGCCAGCGTAGCTCCTGCGCAGCCATGGCTGTGGCGTAGATCTCGGCCACAAGTGTCATCCTCAGTGTGTCGTGCCACTCACGTGGCGCCTGGCGGAGACCGTAGACCGGCCGCCGGAGGCTCCACTGGGTACCAGGAGGGAATGACCCAGTGAAACCAGGAGGGCGGCGCAGCCAGATCTCCTCGTGCAAGCTGCCCTGTAAGAAGGCTGTGCTGAAGTCAAGAGAGTGAAGCTCGTAGTTACGCTGAGCGGCAACATGCAGCAGCACCCGAAGAGTGGTCATCTTCGGGGTGGGGGAGAAGGTCTGGAAGAAGTCAACTCCCTCTCACTGACTGAAGCCTCGAGCCACGTAACGAGCCTTGAAGACAGGCGGAGAACCTGGAGGCCGCTTCACCCTGAAAATCCACATGCCACTGACAATGTTCGCCCCATGAGGGGGAACCTCGTCGACGTAGGTGCCTGTGGACTTCCAGGATGCCATCTCTGCGTCCATGGCTGTCTGCCACTGAGAGGAGTACTCACCCGCGATCGCCTCAGCGTAAGAGCGCGGGGTAGGGATGTCTGGTGCATCCGGGTCTCCCTCAGGGGCAAGCAGCATGGACACGAGATGAGGCGCAGCGGCTGCAAGACACTCAAGGTCCTCCTGCCTGTCCTCAAGGACGTCCGTGCAAAGAGCACACTCACCCCCGACGAACGGAGGACAGACAGACTCAGACTCAGCAACAAGACTGGCGGCGTAGTCTAGACGACAGTGAGCACCAAAGTCAACAAGCTCAGCGACTAAGGCAGACGCAGCAGCAGACTCAAACGACGGGTCAGTGACAACAGTGGCAAGCAGACGCGTGGCAGTAGAGTGCTCAGCACGAAACTGGTCAGACGCAGGGTCAGCAACGACAGGCAGAGAGGACGCAGAGGGAGACGGTAGAGGAACACGCGACGGAGGAGAGGAAGGACGACGAACAACAAGGTGAGGGCCGGAGACAGCCGGCTGGCTCGGACGAGGAACACGACGACCGGAACGGACAGGTGAGACAGGACGCGACGCAGGCTCACGACGCTCTGCAAGGCCCCCAGTCTGCTCTGTGTACGGAGAAGGAGCAGGCAGCGGTGAGCCAGGCTGTAATGGAAGACCAGTAGACGAGGGAAGACTGAGAACCTGGCGAAGTGCAGAGTCAGGTGGTGGCTGAGACGACGGAGACGGCGGAGTGAAGAACAGACTCGGCTGAGCAGTGCCACCAGCACCAGCAGCTCCAGTACCTCCAGCAGCGCCAGCACCTCCAGCAGCTCCAACACCTCCAGCAGCTCCAGTACCCTCAGCAGCACCAGCACCACCAGTAGCTCCAGCACCCTCAGCAGGTCCAGCACCGCCAGCAGCCCCAGTATCCTCAGCAGTGCCAGAACCTCCAGCACCTCCAGCAGCTCCAGTACCTCCAGCAGCAACACCGCCAGCCCCAGCAGCTCCAGAACCCCCAGTACGAGCACCTCCGGGACCAGCGACACCAGTAGAAGAACCCCCAGCAGTAGAGCCCTGAGGTGCAGAAGTGCGACACTGACGGCGACCGTACCTGTCGTGCAGCTGCTGGGAGGTGAGGGGCACACGCGGACGAAGACGGCTAGTCCAAGGAGACCGCGTAACAGCAGTCTCAGAACCCTCAGGTGACTCACCCCCAGACTCAGCACCTCCAGGCTCCGCACACGCAGGCTCAGCACCCCCAGACGCAGCACCTCTAGACGCAGCACCTCCAGACGTAGCACCCCCAGACGCAGCACCTCCGGGCTCCACACGCTCAGCGCCCCCAGACTCAGCACCCCAAAGCTCCGCACCCCCAGGGACAGCACCACTCCCAGCAGGACCGGAGTCACCAGTGACCTCAACAGGCGCAGGCGCGGGGGGGTCTACCTGAGAGACACCTGAAGGAGCAGGACCTGGCGCGGGGAGGGGGTCTACCTGGGGAGGACCTGGGGCGAGAAAGAGCGGCGGGGGGGGGCGAGGAGCAGTGCGGTAGGGGAAGAGGCGGTAAAAGGGGACCGACTCGTCAAAGGTGACGTCCTGAGACGCAAAGACACGGCGCGAGGCGGGGTCGTAAAACTGCCAGCCAGGCGCGTCAGGGACAAAGCCAAGGAAGACACAGGGAATGGCGCGAGGGGAGAGCTTGTCCGCGGTGGTATCGCGGACAAAGGCACGAGCACCCTAGACCCGGAAACGCGACGCATCGCCAACCTTCCCCGTCCACAGCAGTGTGGGCGAGGTCTCCGGCAAGGAGACACGGGGCCAAAGGTTGAGCTGATGCGCGGCGTACCGGACCGCAAACGGCCACAGAAAATGGGGGGCAGCCGCATGGATCATGGAGGTACGAGCGACCTCCATGACTAAGCCAATGCGGCGCTCAGCAACCCCATTCTGCTGCGGAGAGGCCAGAAGCGTGAAAGTCTGGCGGATGCCGTGCTCCGCACAGAAGGCTGCCAAGAGGTCTGAGGAGAACTCACCACCTCTATCAGAGTGCAGACGCAGGACAGGAAAGTCCGACTGGAACCGCTCGCGGAGCTGGAGACAATTAGCGCGGATCCAGGGGATCAAAACATCAGGGACATCCCCCTTGCGCTGCAAGGGGAAAACCGTGGTGTAACGCGTGTAGTCGTCGACAACCAGCAGGAAGTACCGCTCGTGGCCCTGTCCACGGACGCGGGCTGGGCCCCACACGTCCAGGTGGAGAGTCTGCAGTGGAGCCTCTATGGGAGGGAACGAGGAGGAGTGAGGAGCGGCGCGCTGCCGCCCCTCGACGCAAGGAATGCAGGGCGGCGCAGGCAAGGGAGGGAGGGGAGGCAGAGACCTGGGAAGACCAGAAACCAGGAAGCGGGAGTGCATGCTGCGCAGGCGAGGCAGGGAGGGGTGACCAAGGCGGTGGTGCCACAGGAGAGTGTCGTGCGACAGCCGGCGACACTCACACTGTATAGCTACCTGAGCAGACGCGTGCAACTGGGGAGACAAAGGGGCGGAGCGCGACGCTGTGGTGAGGGTGTACAGACTGGACCCTGGCGCACGAGCGAACGTGGCCAGGTGGCGACCAGTCTGGGAGCACGTGCAAATCGCCACACGCTGCCGGCCAGGGGTGAAGGTGTTAACCCCCGCATCCTGGAGGACAGCGTTACTCACAAAGTTCGTAGAGAACGAGGGGAGGTGGAGACCAGACAGCTCACCAGACGGGACCGCCGGACACGGAAGCACAGTGGAAGACCGTGCAAGCACTGGGCCCCCAGAGGGGTCAGCCAATGAGACAGGAACAGGTGCAGGGAGGGGAGTGACTGTGGTACTGTCGCGAAAGA